TGCTATAAAAGGAAGCAGCTTTGATAAACCCATGAAAGTTTCTGAAAAAATCACTTTTCCTCATGCACTAGGAATCTGGGGCTAAGTACAGGCATTACCTTAATGTGCTTTAAAGGCTAGGTACAGACATTACCTTAATGTGCTTTAAAGCCATAACAGAACAGATGTTCACAGCACTTAAAGTGCTTTAGAAATAGTGGATCCTGCTCTAAGTTAACCCTCGATGTGGTATTAGACTAAAGCGTTTTAGGTTAGAGTGCTTTTTTGAATGTCTGTACCATCGTGCTTCAATGTAGATTGCATTCAGCTACCATCCCAGGGGCCCATCGCTGGGTAGTTTGCTAGCCTCAGCTGGTGCTCATCTTCTCTGGGCGAGCAACTGGGCCCAGCCCTTCCCCTGGGTTGTCACAGAGAAGAGAGAAAAGGCTCTGTCTCCTCTCCACACAGCTGGGTTGGGGAGGTAGGGCGGGAACAGAGCCTCTCTGCCATGCAGATCCGCCCTCCCAAGCTTGCAGGCTTGGGTCTTGGTGGGGGCTGGGCCAGGTCCACATGGCAGAGAGGTTTTGTTTCCTCTTCCCCAGCCCTAGTTCCCAACACAGTGAAAAGCCAGGCTGGGCTGGGCAGCCCTGTGCTGCAGCTTCTGGCTGCAGCTGTCAAGAGGCTGGGGTGGGAAGGGGACACCCCCCGCCCCCCATACCCACTGCTGTGCAGACCTTGCCTAGGCCCCCTGAGAACCCAGTCAACAAGCTGTGGGGGTGACCCTCATGGTGGAGGTGCTCCATTCACCCACTTTCCTCCCCCTAGCTGCTGCTGACAGCTGGTGGGGGGAGAGGGGCCCCTCCTGCTGGCCTTGGCCACTATAGGCAGGTACTGACCCCCTCCCACCGAATGGCGAATGTCTGTTTGATTCATTCGCACTCTAACTCATAGCATTCTAAGTAAAGTGTGATAGACTTCTTCTGTCGGGGGCTTTTTGAACATCTATACCTGAGTTACAAGTATTGCTGGAACTTTTTCATTATAAAGAGGCACTTATGTGTTCCAACTATTTATTTTGCATAGAATTAAAAAGCTATAACAGTTTCCTAAGATTAGTTAGTTCACCTGGGCAAAACAATACACATTTTAGACTATATAGTCAGAAACAATAGGAAAGTTTGAATTCGTATGTGCCCAGATATATATGCATTTTTTGCAGAATCTTTTTAATTGAAGTATGTATAAGCATGCAGTAAAATACATCAGATATCAGGATTTGATACAAAACTCTGGAAGGTCTCTAGCAAGTAGTTATGAAAAAGAAAACTCATTTTTCAGCAGAGATGTACTAATGAAAAAGAAAAAAAAAATTACTGGTTTAAGGTATTTTCTTTACATGTAATGAATGGCTGCCATGTTTCAGTATACCTAAATGTCTTTTTTTTTGATAGTTAAAAGTGGAGTAGTATTCAGTATTGCAGAATACTGTAAAATATTTTAGTACCTTACATACAAAGCAAAACAGAAGAATTTCAAAGGTTGCATTTGCCCTGGAAATCAAAGTAGATTTGTCTCTCAGGGGCAGAAGAGCAGTGAATATAGAGGCAAGTAACTCTTACAAAAATTTTAATTTATCATTACCAAAACTTGCATTCATAACTTTTTACAGTAATACAATTTAGTAAGCTCTGAGTAAATGGACTTATATCGGAAAAGTGATGACTTTGTTTACAACTCACCATAAAGGGTTTTCATGTGTATTTTTAAATTAAATTACTGTGACATTCTTAGAAGTTTACTTATGTGGATAATCCAAGTAAAAATTAGAGTAATAGATAGCTGAAGAGTGAAAATTGAGCAGCAGCTCTTACTGCAAATATTGTAGCAATATTTTATTTGCAAAAACAATCCCTCGATGCCTTAGTTAAAAAGAAAACTTGGTAGAAGTTTCTGATATTTGGTTTACCATCATCTAGCTTCATAAAAAAAGATGCATTTGAAGGAACCTTAAATATTGAAAAGAGCAGCATGTTTTCCTAGCATTTTGGGTTTTTTTTCTTTCTAACAACAAAATCCCTTCATCAGTAGACTAGCCTAAAAAGCACATGTTCCCGAAAGTTTTCTGCTTGGGTGACTACGACTTTGTAGAAATTGAAAGGAGGGAGAAAAAAGGAATGCTTCAGCTTGTATAAGAAATGAACCTTTGCCCAATCACTTTTTGTTTGTGAATAAGGTAACATTTTTGTGTGTGTGAAATTTGAAAGCAATAAGGTATGTGGGTCCTTTCTCTTTATTGGTTCTCAAGAGTCGATCAGATTTTTTTTCTTTTAGAGCAGGCCTGAAGTTGTGAGATAAAGCAGCTCAGAAAAAAAAATGTTCTCAAGCAGATGCCTTTAAGAGACAGAAATCATGAATTTCTTGAATTGTGACCACTCTGGGGGTAGCTACAATGACTTTTTGACAGTGACAGTAACTCTGCCTTGTTTTTTCGAGCCCTTCTTTGGCCCATTCACTCCGGAAAGCTGCTTAAGCGCACTTAAGCGCATTAGCATTTGGATGCTAGGGGACCATATTGACCCTCATTTGGAAAGTTTAAATGAGTGAAAGATGGAGCGATTTGTTAGGGCTTTAGAAACCAGCTTTAGAGAGCGGCGGGTTTTCCGCTTCGGTTTGTTCGGGTGCTTGTTCTAATCTGGTGCGCTGTTTAAAGGCGACCAGACTGATTTGTGACACATGAGTCCAAAGGGCTATTTTTTTGGGCTTGACCCGATTAGCTAATCTGTGCTTTGAATTTCAATAGCTGGTATCAGAGGGAGTGCACTTTGGGAATGGCTCGCTGGTGGATTACCTCATTGGTAACTGCATACAGACACAGATGGCAAAATGTTAATTACTTGTCAAAAGAGACAAAATGGGATCCAAGGTAAATTGTGGTGGTGTGTGGAAAAAGTGATTAGGTCTATGTTAAAAAATAAAACAAAATCAAAACTGCAGCTCCCCCAAGGGCTTGGCGTGCCACTCCTTCTCCCTCCTCCTAACATGACCTTTACTAGTTTATTTTAACATCTTCCCTATGTTCTCCCAGAGCTTGATCTCTTGAACAAAATTGTCCTGGAATATTTGAAAATACAAGCGCCATTTTCCAAGGGTGCCCTGTGTTCATGCAAGTTTTCTCCCCTTGTAAGAAATATGTATTCAAATATTCCAATAACAATACTTGCACCATTGTAAATGGTAGTGGTGCCAGATTTTGCATTATGTTGCTGTTGTCAGGCATTTATAATTTAGGTGTGGCATTAGGTTCAGGGTAGAAAATCTAGCATCCAGAGGAAGAAGACCAAGAGGAAAAAATCAGTTAGCCCTTTTTTAATTCATAGAATTGAAGGAAAAAAACCCTGAGCAGGTGCATTTTATAAAGTGAATCCTTCTCTGGACTGCTCATAATCTAGCATTGCTAGTTTCAGCTGAGAACTAGAATCCTTGGGTATGAAAATGATTTTTTTCCATTGGCAAGTCTATTTGTTTAGATGCTCAGCAATATAATAACTGCATATAAATAAAATAAAATAAGCAAACAAACTGAGCCCTATTTTCCTCTCTGCCACTGACTTTCCAGGTGCCAGTAGATAAAATGAAAAAAGCTAAATTCTGTTCTGGTACTGAAGAAATCCAATTTACTTCAAATTCCAATGTAGCTTACGCAAATGTTATGTCTACGTGATGTTTTCCCTTCAGTTTTCCCATCTGTAAGTAGGGATAATGATACATTCATAACTTATAACTCTGTAACAATACAGATCAGTTCTCTAAGGTTCATAAAATGCTTTGGGATTCTCAACTATCATAGAAACATTAAATGTATATTTTATAATGAAACATTATGCAAAACCAAAATATATTTTCTACCCAATATGAAAAAGTATACACAGATACAAATAAATAACCACTTCCCTTATTCATAATTTAATGTTGGTCTTTACCACTGTTCAGTTGGGAGACACTAGTAAAATAAACCTCTATTCAGGAAAAAAATCCCTACTAACTCTCCTAATTTTCTCCTGCACCTTGGCCCTGATTCAGCAATATATTCCCACTTATCAGATCACCTAAGCATGCATTTAACTCTAATATGACTTAAGCATATGCTTAAGTGCTTCAGGAAAACCTCAAGTCCATCTCTAGTGGTATGCAACAGATTCTAAAGTTAATTCTTCCAAATGTAGCTATAGTCTTAAAATTGGACCTCCATACGGATAAAAGATAAATCAGGGGCAAGACTCACACTCCACCTGGCTTACCTGTGAGCCTAGATCAGATGCAGTACCTTTTAGCCAGAAGAGATGTCCCTCCCCAAAAAACAAGAGGTACAGTGCTATTAAGAAGGGTGGTCACACAGACCTTTGCTGCTCAGATAACCTGAACTTCCACTGGCAAGTATAATGTTATAAAAGGATTGTGTTTGTTTTGTAAATTGAATTAATGTTTGGATAGGAAACTCAGATGAATTTGCAAACAAGAGCTAAGCCTTTACAGTTGGCTGGCAGAGCTTCCTTCCATTGTCCATGTCATGTTCTGTCAGGGTGGGGTGGTACCTTAGAGACTCACTGGTTCACAGAGGCAAAAGCTTTTGTAGCTCACAGTGTACTGCATCAGAGCTATGAATGGAATTGAAGAAAGCAGTGGTTCTAAATAGAAGGAGATTTAAATACAAAGGATAAGAGGAGGGGCAAAGAAGGGTAATGTGAACCAGTAAGGTCTGGAAGCCAGTAGCTCCAGGGAGTGGCCGTACGGTCATGCATAATGCAAACGGATGCTATGCTATCATGCTTTTAAATTCAGTATCTACTATAATGAGTTAAGGAGTGCTTGGTTTACTATGAAATTTCTGCAGCAAAAACACTATCAAATTGGCACTGGATTATACACTTGATGTGCAATGACTGAGAAAGTTGCATGAAAAGGGAACTTACCTTCCATTTAAACAGTCTTTCCTGTTTGTGTGTCTCTTTTTTTTTAATTAGACACTTTGTGCAAAAGCTACAATGCAGACTATCCGAGCAGCTGACACAAATGAAGTAGTCAAGCTAATATTTCGTGAATCTGATAATGACCGAAAGGTATGTAACCTAATACAGTTCGTGTCATAGAAGTGAATGCAGACATTGTTGGATATCCACTATTTAGACTAACAAACGCCAAAGACAAAATTTGACTCTGGCTGCAATTCCTGAAAGTCACTAGAATAACATCAAAGATGAATTTTTGACCCCAGATATAGAGTTGACCATATGTCCCATTTTCACTGTAAAAGTCCTGTTTTAAATGCCTGTCTCAAGCATCAGAAGAGGTTTCTGAAAATGTGACCAAAGCATTCATTTGAAGACACTGACAAGATGCCTTAGGTGTGCATGTCCCCTGACCAGCAGCACACTCCCCACACACCCCTGCTCAGCCAGCATGCTCCGCTGGAACTGGAGTCAGAAACATCTAAGCATGTGGAGGTGGAGGTGTGGAGGTGGAGGGAGAGGTCCTGTTTTGAGATACTGTCAAAACAGGCATAAAAAAACAGGTATCAAAAAATATATCACATACATATCAAAAGAACAGATATCAGGAAATATATGGTCACCATATACAAAGGTTTAATCATAAAATGTGAGGAGTTAAGTTATCATCTGACCCTGTATGAAAGAAGAACCCCTTTGAGGAATGAAGTAGTATTTAATGAAACTCAGGATTTGGTTGGATATAGTCTTGTCTGATGTGCACAGAAAGCTTTCCAAGTGAAAACTAGGCATCATTTAGAGGTAAATATAGACTTCTACTCTGTGTAACATTACTATTTCAGTCTTGTTAAGTGATTGCCAGTTAACCAAATGAACTTTTTTGATGGAGTTCTTAGAGACCTAGGAATTGTACTGTAGATTTAAAAGGTTGAAGTTATATAGCTAAGGAAGACTGTCACCAGCTGAAATGTATGGACCACTTGGGGCAGAAATTCTCTACCTTTTTTCTGCTTTATTTTCTCAGGTTATGCTACAATTAGAAAAGAAGCTTTTTGACTACTTTAATCAAGATGTTTTTAGGGATAACAATGGCACTGCGGTAAGTTTATGATTCTACAGTAATTAAAAATAAATTAGATTAAATGTAAAGATATACAGTGCACCTCTATCCATCCTTTTGTCCTTCTGAATGCTTCTGTGCACAAAATGGGAGACAAAATGTATCTAGAATTTAAGAATAATATAATAACCCTTTGGTTTTGTTCCTCTTTTGGAAGAAAAAATCTCTTTTGTATGATGATTTCTAAATTGAGTGACCTCTAACTGTGGCATCTGCTCTATGTTGTGTTCAGTTTTGCATGGAAAGAATTTTAAATTTGTATTTAAAACATGTTTAACAAAGTTTGTGTTTCTTTCTCTATCATCTTTGCTCTCTTTCTTCATGTAGCCTCTTTATTTATTTTTTACCCTTCATTGTGCAACATTAAAAGACATAAATTTAAAGAAAAGGTGAACTATTATCAAAATTCCTATCCCTTTGTATTGCACAAAGAATACTGAAGAAGAGTCAGAAATAGAAATGGAGAGATTCTAACTAGTGTGATTATCTGTCTTTGGCTGCTGACAGATGTTAAATTATAGGCATAATGGGGTCTGATGCAGAATCCCAATGTTCTTACTTCCTGCCATGCCACATGTACCTGGCAGGAGGCATGATTATGAAATTGAGCATGAGATCTCATCGCACCATATTGCCAGTACAAGGGGAACTTAGGATCATGATCCTGGGTTGTCCGCACATTAGCAAATACGAAGTTTGGCTTCCTACACTCCCCTGGCTAGGTGCCTGGATCAGCTGACCAGCTTCTGGAGCTCGGTGGAGTCTTGAAGTTCTCTGGAGGCTAGGATGACTGGGCACGTGTTCAATTAAAGACACGATAGGAACCAGCTACAAAGTTATTATGCTTATACTGCGGTAATAACTTTGTGGCTTATTCCTCTTTTTATCATGCCATTAATTGAATGAATATGTGGCCAGTGTAATGTCTGTCAGGGCCCCTTGAGACAGACTTAACAGGGATACATGAGAGAGGAAAGCAGATATAGAAAGACTACTGTTTTGATTGACAAGCTATAGAGTCATATGCAAATACAATTTTTGCATAGAAAATACTTAACAGAATGTTTTGTATTTATAGCATAAAAAATACTAAACAGATGTTTTGTATTCGTTTTATTCCATAAGTCAGCCTCTAATACTGGCCAAACTGTTCACACGTTGTCCACAATTAGCCAAATTTCATTTATGTTTCTAAGAGATGTGTAACTGAGGGGAAAATGTTAATCTTCCAAAATAACAGAGCAAAAATGAAGTATTGGAAGAGTTTAGGATGTATGTTATGCTTGTAGGGACCTTTCGGTACAAATCATTTCAGCTGTAGAAATCATTTCAAAGTAACTCCACTGACTCTAGTCTAGCCATGCTGGTGTACACCTGTGTAAGATGTTGGTGTTCACCTGCATACAGGTGCTAAATCACATATTCTATTTTTTATGTTATGACTGGTTAAAACACAAAGATTTGTAGCTGGGCAACATTAAGGAGAGTAAAGCCTCTGAAAATTAGATATGGAGAAACCAAATTGGGAAGAAATTAATTTCCGTTTTACATATATATAAGGACAAGGAAACATAAAGAAATTAACCCTTTTCTGTGCATATATATTTTCCATGTTCTGGAAAATGATACGGGAAATAGCTTTACTAATCAGTCCTGAAAGACAATCTGGCATCTTAGGAGGACTCTGACACCTTAGAAGTTGTCCATAAGATCCAAATGCCAGAATAGCTGTGACCCGTTTGTGCATGAGAAGATCCATTACTATCAGGTTCCTTCCATATGTGGTTGTGAGGAGCTTGGTCTCAGCCTTTCCCATTTCTTGAAAGTCATAGGAGTTTTAACTTATGCCTGGAATCATGAAGAATCTGAAAATCTATTTATTTCTCTTTCAAATATTTGTCCATGTGGATCCCACTTGGGTACATGTTCACACAAGAGATCTTATGTGCATAGTGTGTATGCATAGAAGTGGAACCCATGTGGACAAAACCTCTTGAAGAACTATAGTTACTTTGAGGTAATCATTCTTTTTGTTTCTCCTTTTGTCTGAATATATTACCGACTGAAAAAAATCTTCGGAAAATGCATACAGACCAACTTCCTGTGAAGATGCTTTCTTTTGAGGACATTTGGTCCTAGAAATTCCAGGGCCTTTTATCACTTCCACCTGACACATGAGAGAATGTCTCTCTACATGAAGCACGTAATATTTTATATAAAGCATTTGACAGAAACCTGACAAAAATAAAATGGCAAGGAATAGGACTAATAGTAACAAAATCTTGAACAGTGAGGATTTCATTATACTCAATAAAGTTACAGATTCAGAACCTGACCAACCAAAACAACTTAATCCTCTATTTTTATTTATCTTAGCTCTATTAGAGACAGAAATAAAAGACTAAATGAGCAAAATATTTTATTACTCATTTTTGTATGGTTTTTAACTTAATTTTTATAATGACTTGAGGCATTTAATTTTATCCTTATTCCACTACTGTTTTATACAACATTTTTATATGCTGAGCAAAATCACTCTTGTTCATTGCAATTCGCAATACACCAGTGGAATTCCAGGTGCATACTTGGTTGACTTTACATATATGTACGCTTTTGGTAAACACATACACGCTCACGTGTTTACATGCAAAGACATATGCAGACATTGCATTCTAGCACACTACATATCAAAATCAGCTGCCATTTCATTCATGCACTGAGAAGCAGAAAATCTTCCAGTTCAAACGTGGAAGAAAAAGATAAACGATATAATGAGCCATTGGAGATAATCTAATCTTCATGGTCTAGTTAAACACGCAGCACCATGATCACTAAAAACAAACTACCTATCTAAAAGGATAAATGTCCCTGTGCCAAATTCATCCCAAAAAATCCATCGCATCCTTCATCAACCGCCGGTCTTGTACCAGCCTGACAGAAATTTAATTCAAGCTGGCTCCTGAAAATAATTATTGTATTTTAAGAGTAGTAATCATTGGTCGGGACATGATTGAATGTGTCCATGCCTATTGACTTTTTCTATGATTTATAGCTTTGTTTAGTCGATATTCCCATCGAAATTGTATAATTAATTATAAGTGGGGCTGTCAGGTCTGCAGGATGGAGTGCCCTGATGAGTATTTGGGAAGATTAAATTTTCCTTAGCTGTACCGATGCAAGGCTTGGGAATTTTCACAGCACTATGGCTGTTGGATAAAGATGTTTTCTGTGTGTTTAGCAACTGCTTTAGCTCAAGATCCATTGATTTTCTGAGCTCTTTTTTATCACTGTGGTGTCTCTTCAGTAACAGTGGAATTTGTGCAGATGTGACAAGACCTGACAAATATTTATTATCAGCAGGCTACTTTATCATTGTCCATACACAGTTATTCCTTCTTTTTTACATTGTAATCAAGAAAAAGAATTCTTAAGGTACATGTAGAAATGGATATCATATTTATGAATAATCTAAAGTGGATACAGATTATCAGTTCAGCAGAAGTACTATATAGTTTTCAAACTGAAAATTTTTAAGCTTAATATTTTCCTAACTTCAGCAGTTCTCTTTGTTTTTCCCCACCAACCAGCATGTACAATGACTGTTCTATAAAACTTTATTTCAAATGAGCATCAGTGAAAAGAGAAATTCTGTTTTAGATCTCTAGTGCCTAATGCAAAGTTATAACACTATGAGAAAATATCTATCTTAGATTCAATGTAATGTGGTCTATATGGTAGGTGTTAAGGCCATGTTGAACAAGTGGGTAATCCCATTAACAATTTAGGAGTTTGTGATGAGATAGTGCCAGTGGCTAGTATCACAGGGGGAAAAAAATGAGAACAGTGGAAAAAGGGACATTATTTCAGGCTGAATGTGGCCTTGATAAATATATTCATTTAAAAATGTAGAGCATTTAAATTGTTATCTGAAAATAGTACCTTTGAGATGGAAAATGCTTAGAAACACTGGGTGTTAAGGTCTAGCCAAGCCTTGCTGTAAAACATTTCTATGTCATCCTCATCCAGAGGCTAGCTGGGAACCAAGTCAGTTCCCAGTCACATTACAGAAGCTTCAGGGTTACTCATAAGTAGGAACAACCCCCAATTGTGTCTTCTACAGTGGTGCGTTGCTGATACCCCTTTTTTGCTCATGTTCCTGATGCACCTAAATAGCACTGAGTTCACACAAGGGAATCCTCAGCTGGCCTGTTAAGCCATTTCTATGGTTTCGCTGCATCAGTGGAGCAGACTATCCCATCTCATCCTATATTCCTGGGTTTATACATTTTTATATAGAGATAAGTCACCTAGAACTTGATTGTATTTTGAGATTTGCCAGTCTTAAAAGAGATTTAATAGTCTGACAATGATAATAATCACAGACAATAGAAACCTAGTATCATAGTTCACAGTTTCTAAAATTAAGCCACATCCTTATATTTTATCATATGCTTTCCAATTACTTAAAATAGTGATTCAAGATATAACTGCTTATTTGCTGCAAAATATCTCAAATTAAGGAATTTCCTGTTAATTGCAAGAGCTTTAGAAAGAAAAGCAATTAATGGGCAATTATTTAACGAGAAAAAAATCATAGTCATGTTATTGATTTGTGCAAATGGATCATTAGTTACATGCTGCCTGCGCAGGAGCCAGTTAAATAAATATATAGCAGGAATATAAAAACTATTAATGACTACTGGAGAATGATTAAAGGTTTTTAAATATTTTACAATCTTTAACCATCATCAGAAATGAAAAAATCACTCATACTTTCATATATTTCATATAAACTATATTCATGAACTATTTCAGATGAAAAATCATACTTTGTCCCTATAATTTTGATCATTATTGTCAGAGTATTCAATTAATTTGTAATTCTAACAGTTTGACCCTATCTTACTTCCACTAGTTTCACTATCGACTTCAGTGGAAATAGAATCAGATTTTTGGTGATGTTGCTGAGCTATATTTGCTACTACTTGTAT